GCTGAACTTTGAAGGCCATGTAAAAATGGAGTGAAGAATGTGGGTCAGTATCTTTAAGGAGGTATCTTCCACCTTCAGTATCTAGAGAAGTTAAGAAACTTAATTGTCAAAACTGACCAATTAAGGTCACCTTCCACTCTGCTGTGCTGCTGACTGTGACCTTGAAGCTGTTTGCAAACATGTTAAACTGCGGCACCAACCAAAGTCTGACAAGTCATCTGCAAGAATATTGGGTACCCCTATTTATTATTTCAGGTAAGTATTATGAATTAACTGTATCAGATTAAAGACAACATGTCCACATGATATTATGCAATGCAGGCAGACAGAGCATGTAATTGACTCTTGAAGAAAAAATAATTAGCTCACCATAAATGCTGAGCTCTAAGGCGTTCTTTTAATGCTTCTAGAGAACATGCTTATAAAACATAGGCAGAGAGTTTATAAATGGTTTAAAGCATTTTCTGACAGAAGGCCTGTCCCACTAGTGTTAGTGTAACATGACAATTCTCAAAAAAGGACACTCAGAACTCTAAAAGTAAAATTGACATGCACTTGCAGTAAACATACAAATATCTTTAACCATAGTCTCATATATTAAAAATAGCTTAAGTTACTTAAGAATATTCTTACACTACACTGGTAAAGTGTTTACTATATAATATTTCTACAAGACGTGTACATTTACTAGAAATCTTAAGCCACACAGGCATCATCAACAGCTTATCATACATACATGATGCTTCTCCCTTTCACACAAGTTTATATACACTGAGTAAATAATTAAATATTGCACTTATTGGCCCATGATTCCTCAGTTTTGAGGTATTCAAAAATAGAAAAAATATCTATTTTTATAACATTTTTTCATGCAACATGTAAGACATTTGAAATACACGAATGCTAGTATATAAGTTACACATTGTGACAGTCCAACCGAGTCACAACACATCTGACATTACTGACAAAATACCAAACAAAAGTTACAGCACAAACATTTCATATATCACTACTTGCAGGTACATGTCAGAATTACTTGAGGAGATTTATCACCAGAAGTGGTAAAGAATGTCTATCTAACCTTCACTTTTGTGTGCTATAGGTGAATGTGAAATTATGGGAAATGAGGACTTTTGCTTCCCCCCTGACCAGATACCAAGTACCTTATTGTACAAATGACAAGCCGTCTGCCTCTGCTGGAACCATGGTTAATGAACTTCTGGTCTTCAAATGTAACACATTTGCTTTCCAGCAGTAATGACAATTTAAGAATAAATTTGGGAAAAGTGGCACTGAATATAAACAAGTAACAGTGGGAAATGAATGAGTGTCAAAGATGTACTACAGTATGTGCATGTAATATGTGTGTAGTCACAAATTCTGCTTCACTGAACACCCATGGATAAGCAAAAGAAAAAAAAACCTTAATTTGCAAAGGTGAACTACATTTACCTCTAAATAAAACTGGTAGAGTTCATTTGAATAATTGAAATACGTTGCCTTTTAAAATGAGACTGGATCAGTCTTGGAGAATCTGGAGTCAGAATGCATGGATCAATGGTGCAAATTAACAGAATTTATTCCACTGTTGGTATAAGTGAAGATAGGTTGCTAAACCCCCTGAGGATGTATCTATGAGGCTTCAAACTCATGGTGCCACATTGCTAAATCTGTCATGCTAAAGAACTAGGCTTATACATCGTGAGTCTATATGAAACAGGCCAAGGAGGAATCAGGTTGTTATCAGTACTAAAATTTAGTTGATGACTGTAAAAATGTAAATAATAAAACTTACTTTTCAAAAAAGAAATATAGAAAATAGTAGCTTGGGAGGGGAGAAGTTTGTAAGGGGGTTTCTCTTGGAATGCAATTGCAACATCATTTGTTTGCTCCAAAGAAACAAATGCATAACCACCAAATGTAGAATTTTTGCTACTTTTTTTCCCACCCAAAAATGGCAAATTTAATGCATTCTCAAAGTTAGGATCAAACTCCAGCAAATTTTGTGCATCCTGAAATAACACTTCATTTCCAAAATAAAGATGCAGGTGGTACAGCTGAGCTGAGCAGACTGGGGAGAAAATTTAATCTTTCAAACTGGTGCTCTGAAAAAGGCCACATAGATGTCGTTGCTCACGTAATTTCTCTAGGTGCTGCATTAAGTATAAGCACAAAGGAATAAACAATTCCAGCTTAGAGTCACTTACACAGCTGTTCAGAGAGAAAGAGTATTTTCTGGCAGAAAATTAGGCTAGTTCACATTTATTTAAAACACCAAACGAACAAGTCTAAATAAACTAACCACCACCACCAAAAATAACAGACACAGTATTAAGTCAGTTGCACTTGTAACTTGTGAACATGAACTCCTAAAAGAATCAAAAACATGCATCTGAATGTTCAGCCCAGCAGGGCTGGCTGGCTGTTCGGCAGGTTGCTGCCTGAGGCACCGCAGGAACCAGACAATCCCCATGTTCCCGGGTGCTCCCAAGGGATTTTCTGACCAGTAGCTTGAAGGTGCAGAAAGCAGCACATTGTCAGAGCATGATAAGGCTGGTGCATGGGCCATGCACAGGATTAGCCTGCTGCTATAAGCTTTAGTCTAGATCATAACTCAGAAAAAGGATTGTGTAGTATTAGTTCAGCTTCAGCTGGCACTATGTAGCTCAGGATTCTCTGCCCAAAGGCATCTCATCTCTCAGATTAAAAATACTCTGTATTAACTGCTGCATCTCACCAACTGGATAAATCTCTGCTGAAGGGGGTATCTATGGCCGGACCAATGATTTGCTGTGACATTCAGTTTTATTTCTATGTTGAAAGTACAACAAATCAATGCAAGGTGTGCAAGAACTTTTTCACTTTTTCACTTGTGATGAGGCTGAAAGTAGTTTTGTTTCTGCTATCCCAGTTTCCATCTGAGTTCTCCCCTCTTCCATCACAAAATATAGTGCTTTGTAGCCTGGTACGTGATATATGTGAAGAAAAAGGCATTGATAGTTTAAAATTAGGCCCTTGATCAAGTTGCAATAGGTTCTTAAAAAACGTTCAGCCTACCTGGATTTAAGAAAATTGCAGTTCTCCCCTGTAAGTCAAGAGGAACTGAACCAGATTGACATAGGCTGCTGTTGGATATTCTATCCCATAGGAGGCCAAGGAATAATTTTACATAGAATGAAAATTCTAACACTGCTAGTCCCCTCAGAATTCTTGGAATATTTGAGGAAGGCATGATAAGTTACTTCTCAAAAGCTTTTCTGTCTTTACTGTTTCTCTACAAAAGATAAGTTCTAGTTGAGAGAGACACTGAGATCATGATGCTCATGATCTAAATATGACCAAATGTATAGCAGAAAACTCAATATTGCTGTGAAGCATATGACTGCAAAAGCCAACCTGTGATGGAAAATCAAAGCCTACTTTTTCCCACAGCAGGTAACCCAGTTTGGAAAGAAAAAGCCTGCTTGAACTTCCAAACATTTTCAATTTCAGAGAAAGCCATGATCGGATAAATTTGGTTTGATGGGACCACAACAGGCCATCCTTTCCAAATTTCTACTCAAATCAGTGTCAACTGAGAGGGCTGAGTGGTTTTCCCAGGGTTTTAATCTCATCTTGAAAAACTCCAAGTATTTTATTTGAACATTTTAAAAATTAATCAGACTGAACGCCATGACAATGTCTGAGTGTTAGCACAAAGTTTTGAAGAGGTTTTAGGTACAGACTCATTCTCTGCTGCTGTGTTTCAGATAAGCTTTTTCCTTTTAACATATTTTAGCACTCTAAGGAACAACACTACTCTGACAGCTGCTTCCCCCAGCCACCCCATCTCATGCAGAAGGCCAAATATGTGTGGTGGCCTAGCAGGTTAGCTGCCTCAGAAACTTGAAGCAGAGGTTCTCCTTAGATTTTTCTGTTACTCTTCTGCCCAGACTCCTGATGCAAAATGAAAAGCAATTAACAATTAATGTACAGAACTTTTAATCTATCGCTCAATTATTTTGAAAAGATATATGCTAATAATGTATTTCTATCACCAACTCTAAATGGTCATAGCCAGGCAGGGAGGGTCTAAATTCATTGCAATGGATACAGGCAAAGTGTGACTGCAGCAAGGGACACCTTGAAGTCTTTTTTCCTGCTTGCACTGTGCACAGGAAATGACAATTTTACATCAAACATCTCAGAGCAAAGCTAGAAGAATACTTGCACTTCTTGCAAGCTGCATGATTCAGGATATACCCAAAATCCTGATTATGTCTCTCTCCTCCTTGCCTGAGATGGTTCAGACTAATAATACAATCTAAGGCTCATCTAAAGAACTTGAGAGCTGAAGCTGAATTCTGTCTCAAGGCTTTCCTGCTCCTTCTTCTCAGCCAGGAGTCACTAACATAGCAAGAAACACATGGAAAACTGCCCAGCAGCCATCTCAAATGAAGCTTGCTCAACTTTGTACTGCTTGTGTTTTTTCCAATCAGCTGGCACCTAGGGTGTGAAAATGTACCAGGGAAACTCTCTCAGCACACTTAGCAACACGCTGTCTTAAATGGGGGGTGGGGAAAAAAGCGCCCTAGAGAGAGAAAGGATCATTGTTTGGATAGCATGTACCTCTTCCACCTGGCTGGTCCTCCACTCTGAAAAGGAGGGTGCTTTCTCTTCATGGAGGTAAATCAGTCTTCATGTCTACTAGGGGGAAAACTGCTTAAATAAACTAGTTAACAGGACAGACATGGTTTAAAAACCCAGACTGAAGACAGCATTGATTAATTTAAGTTAGGCAGCCCAGGTAGAACCCTCCTGGCATATCCTTTTTACATATGTCTATATGCCTTGTTTGGAAGTAACTTTTATTGTGTCAAAGTGTATTTAGATTATTTAATAATTTTTTTAAAGTGGCCATTTTCTCTTAGTGTCTATCTATCTTAGTGTGTTATGTATCAGAAGTTACATGAGTTACCTTCAAAAAACATAAACTGTAAAGAAGGATTTCCATATGGGATCTCCATAGTGATGGAATGAGAAATTAATTCTAGTTTCAGAAAATTATTAGCTAGACATGCAGCTCCTATGTAAAAGCAAATACACTAGCTGTCCAAACAGGACGAAGTACCTAATATCTCTGAGACTCTGGACTGAATATCCACATCCAGTTGGAAATTGTTGATGAACAGTTGAGAATTTTGATGGCTTTGGGCCCAGGACCTAACTTTGTTCTGATTTCTGCAGTTTTCAGTCAGCCAGGATGTGTAACATAGTGAGTGTGGATTTTACAAGGCAATGCGCTCAGGAAGCGTCCCTTGTACAAGTGATCTGGCAGAATGAGGGATTTGCTCACTACAGGAATACTTCTAAATTCATTTTCAATCAGGAAAATACACAAGTGGCATCAGGAAGCTAAGTCAAAACACCCTGACCACTACCCTAAAAATTCAACTATATAACTTGAAACCAGTGAAGTGAGAGACAATTATAGGCAAACATGGTCTGAGGGCATGGCACCAGCTGAAATGTGACACAAAACAGTAAAAAGAGAAGAGAAATTAATATACACTCTGCATGCAAAAGCCAGGTTCTAAAATACGGATCATCCTTTTAGGCTAAAAACTGCTCCATCCCCATATGCATATTAGAACAGCTGATGTAAAACAAGACTGTTCTCCAAATAAATTAATAAGACAGTATAAATAAAGGTATATAGACCATTCATAAATACTCTGTTGGCAATAGAACACACTGGAGCTGCCTTTGCTGATAGCTGCATTAGCAGCTGCAGTTGGGCTGCTGTGGAGGAGGGGTGTCCTTTAGCTGTGTGTTCTGGTTGCTGGCAGCAATGGTGGGATTCGTCTCCAGACTTTCTGACATTTTGTCACAGATGATATCCACAAGTCGCTCAAACGTCTGCTTGACATTAATGTTTTCCTTGGCACTTGTTTCAAAAAATTCAAATCCTAAGAAAATAAAGAACATGTTTATGTTCTAGGCATGTTTCAGTATCTCCAATAAACATACAAATCTCTCTTGAGCAAGAGACACTCAGAAAGGAAACTCATGAGAGCACACGTATGGAAGAGGAGCAGGTAAAATTGTAACACAATCAGAGTAAGTACACTAGTGCTACTGGCTTTATACAAGGCTGGATGAAGTCAGGGCCAAATATATTTCCTTAGAAAAATGCTACTTTAACACAGTTTAATCTAAAAGTTAATACCTGTTTCAGAGAATTATTTCAGGAAAGCCCTGTATGTACAGCCATTGGGAACAAGCAATCTGCTGCTCCATCTCTAACTATTATGTTCCTCTAAGCATTATGCAGTTGGAAACAGCCATTTCCATTGTGTTATTTAAGGTGGTGCCAAAATAAAAAATAATGCTTGCAAAAGTACAGGTAAAAAACCAAGCAAGACAAGAAAAGATTTTTGCAATTTGATAGTTACTAAAGTTAGATGTGAATCCATGGAACCAAAGGGATTCCCAACTCCACAAAGAGAACTAATTAAAAAAACCCCAACCAAACAACAGAAATGCATGTAAGGAAGAAAACATCTTAATTCATTTGTACAGAAGGACTTTTTATCTATTCATTCCCAATGAATAGCCCACAGGCAAAAAACCATAGCTATCCTTAGCCCTTAAGGGACACTGGAAGTTTTTATAGAGCAGAGACAGCTGTTCTAAGCCCTCCAGAGACAGTTTCCTAAGTTCTCCTCTCTGCCTCCAATTGTACCACATCTCACCTCCCACATGGGTCTCATTCATCTAGGCCAGGTTTCCAGCTTGGCAGTCAGCCTGCAACCTAGAAAGCTTCTCCCAGAGCTGGGTCTTCCCACATGCTTGTTTCCTTTGCAAAGCATTTGTGTTCCTTAATTTATTGTTTTCTAGGACTTTTCCCACATTTTTCCCAAGTTAGAACATTTCTCACCCACTCTCTGATAATTCACAATTTACTTCCATTCCTATCTTTCCACTACCTATTGGTTCAATATTAAAACACTTTACAAAACTTCTGATTGACTTGTAGCTTTACAGAAACCTTTGCACAGTCTGGCTTACCCTTTGCATAACTATTTGGATTCCTTCTGATTAAATCTGAATATTAATGTGCAATTACCACTGTCTTTCAGTATGAGAAAAATCCCTGTCAGAAAATTTCAATTACATGAAATTCCTGGCAGAAGAACAGAAAACAAATCTTTGTGGGTCTGGTGGTTTGGTTTGGTTTTTTGAATGTTTTGTTTTATTCTGTTTTGAAAGGCCACATGAAATTTAAATGCAAGTACTTGGGTCACATTAGTATTATGTCTTCAGTATGCCATCTAAACAGAATGTAATCTACACATTCAGTCCTATAACAGTTGTCTATGCAGCTTTTGCAATTTGAGCTCTACCCTAGAGTTACTGCAGATAATCATATTTACCTTGACATGATAACCCAGCCAGAAGTAATAAGCAATGTACAAACTCAACTCTGCTCTGAATGATTTTTTTGCATTTTTAATTTATGTAAGATGCTGTACCGAAGTGTCAGGAAGCACTAAAATGTTTTAATGTATAGGAGCTAAGCACTGGCAAAAGTTGGTGTTCATAGGGAGATTAGATAACAAGAGCTACCAATATTGTACAGGGATTTAATTGGTCATACGACTTCTGTTAGTATCAGGAAGAAGTGTAAGGGTAAGCTCACCAGTATGAGAATACATTGCCATAAAAACTTTTCCATTCCATATTTCACTGCAAAGCACGAAAACTGTGAATAATAAAAGACTTCCAACAAAAATTAGATACAAGGATATAGTTTTAATCTATAAGATGCTGCTTTAGTTAAGCTTTGCTTGCACATTTCCTTTGTTCCAAACTAGAAGGAAAATGAGAAAAGACAGTGCAACATCACTTGTTGGTGGTTTTGGCCCTCCTGCAGAGCTCCATGCAGGAGAAAGCTGTTCAGATCATTTGGGAGCTGCTTGGAGAAAGGAAGATCGTCCACAATTTCAGTATGCTGTGTTGAAACTCAGATGCAGCCCCAGTCCAGCAATGCAGTCAAGAACCTTCCACAGATCCTAGTGTCTTCTCCACAGGAAGGAAGAGGAAAGCAGCCATTCCACAGAGGAACAAGCAGAATCATAGGGCAGAAGGGTTGAGTAACAATGGGGGAATGATGCACCAAAGCTTGGGAGATGATAGGAAGAACACTGAATCTAAAGAACATTTAGGAGTGGAACAGTTTTTACAGTTATGAAGATAGAATAATGAGCTCATCAGATGATAATGAAATAGCAGATATGATATCTAGGTAAGAGATCTAGAGAGACAAAAGCAGAAAATGAAAGGAAAAGAGTCACAGAGAGGAGGCCTATGTCAAGAACTACTGTAACAAGGATAAAATCAAGAAAACAGGCCCACTATCTTGGTGAGGATGTTTTGCATGAGAACATCATGAAAAACTTAAAAGGCACGTATTCTCCAGATTAAACGGAGGCTTACAGAGTGTCAAGCACAAAATAATTGATTCAAATAAAATACTTTGGAGATTTCTATGGAATTTCAGATATGATTTCAATATAAGAAGAAAATTGCAGTCCTAGCAGTGATGTAGTTGGATATCAGGCTATGAGGGTATTCCATCAATTTGGACATTAATTGCCTGGACCTGCTAGGCTAGGCTTTGCTGCATAGATGAAGCAATGGACAGACCTGAGAGAAAGTGGCTGAGCACCCAATTGCCTCCACAATAAAAATAATGCTATATTCTTTAATGGAACTGTAGGGGTGGGAATTTTGAATATTATTAGCCCAAAGAGCTCCTTCTGTGTATAGACCTATGATAGGTGCTTTTTATATGCTTGAATGTGCAAATAAACATCCATCTTCCCAAGAAGAGAATGGGGCATACATGTGAGCTCCTTCCAGGTAGTTCTCTGTAAAACAGATGCAGCTGCACATAGGTAAGACACTGTTCTCACAGGTGCCGACATGGTAACACAGAAGAGTCTTTTGAAGCTAATTAAGAACTTAAGAAAATCTTTGTGTAGTTTCGGGTAATCACTGTCAAAGCATTGTGGTATGTACTGAGCAAGTAGGACCAGCAGGATTGCAAAAATTCAGCAGAACAGGAGTTCAGAATCTCTCTGATGCAGCCAAAGATGCCATTACAAAGACCCTTGCAAGAGAGGCTCCTGTAGGCACTCAAAACAGCCACTGATTGTCCTTGGCAAGGGATTCAATTTCTCATGGGAGTATTACCTTGTGCAAGGTCCCCCAACAAATCAGGTTGGTTCTTTTGGCTGGTTTGTTTAACCAAAACCTTGCCTGTGGAACAGTTCCAAGGAGCTATACAGAATTTTTCCTAGCAGGGTGTTCTTGGAATCAAGGCTAGAATTCTGTTTGTTTTCATTTTCTTATGGAATATTTTGCAGATCTTTTTTTCCCCATGGCACCTCCTTCTCTACTGACTCATCTTGCAATTACTTTAATAATGGCTCTTAAACACCCTAAGCTTCATAAATCCCTGTGTATGACAGCCTAAGTTCTATGACTTCTAGTACTTTTTTCAAGTTTGTTTTTCACTGCTCATTATTAATTGAGATAAAATATTTTCCATGGGGGTATAAGTGTGAAGTGAGGCAGCTATCTGGTGCTGCCCAGGGAAGCAGAGCTCAAAGAACACCATGTTCCCACCATGTGTGATGATCTGTACTGCTGATGGGGATGAGGCCAGGCAGAGGAGATTATCATAAAGACATGACAAGCCCAAGAGGTAAGTGGGTAGGTCACGGAGAACAGAGCTGAAACTCAGAAAATCCAATACACCAAAGTGTTGCCCGAACATATGTACAAAGTGTATAGAACATGGAACATGATATTTTAAATGCTTATTTTGTGTTTAATTCTGTTTTCCTTTGCTGATTCCCTCTTTCCCTACTACTGACTCAAAGAAGGCTGGCAAGCTCTTGGCAGCTCCTACAGAGCACTACAGCAGCAGAGCTAGACAGGGCACTGGCACGGTTCTGTTGTTTTCCTGGTGATCTACAATGAACACACACAGCATTTAGATGGCTTTCCTGAATCATACACACAGCCAGATGCACTGTATTTGTACCCTCTCTGCCTCACATGTGTGCTAGCTCTGTAGAGGCTCCTTCATAACTGCTCATTAACACTTGCTTATGTCTGCTTTCAAAACACAGGAAAGAAAAGCACCCAGAAAGCACAGTCATATGCAAAGAGAAGAACATTCTGCACTCTCTCATCTTCCTGAGAAAACATGACATCAAGAGCACAGGCTAGACAGCAAACTAAGAACATTTCCACAGACAATACAGACAAGATCTATGCTGATGTTTCACAAGTTGATCAGGTGGCATTTTGGTTTCAGAGTGTTTTTCTACAATAAAGACAATTTAATTTATCAGCCCATATGTTACCTTTTACAGATGTCCACAAGGGTATGTTCCTTCACTAACTATCCTTCTAAATTTTCATGAAGACAAGCTTGAGCTGTGACCCTTAGTGCTGCTTTTGTCAGTGTGTGGTTCAATCCAGAATTGTAAGGAGTAGCAGGAGACTGCAGCATCAGAGCAAGAAATGGATACAGGAAGCTGCTCCCTTTGTAAGAGCTGGGTGTAAAAGGCAATCTCCAGGAAGTCATGGGAATTAATAATTTAACAATATCATTGTATATAAAAGAGAGGTGTTAATAAGGACTTATCTTCTTAAAATTGCATCCTGTGGGTAGCTCTGAGCAGGCACTGGCAGGCACTTACCTTCCTGCCTGCTATGAATAGTATCTAATAAGTTTTGCATTCACATTACAGGCTGTCAGTAAAGGCAACTGCAAGACCTTTCTTCTCTGCTCAGATGTCCACTTCCTCAGAACTGTCAATATCTTTTAGTCAAAGAGAGAAAGGACACACATGGCATGACTGAAAGGTCATCTCTCCCAGGGAACTGGGCT